ACTGTGGTAATATTATTATATGATTTTAGTCATAGAAGAACTAGAAGCAGTATAGTAGTCATAGTCATACTTCATAGTTTTATTGAAACATTATCGAATTCGTTGCAAATCAATAAATTAAAATATAATTTTGTTTATCAATCATGAAAATAACCCAGGTGAGTAGAGACAGTGAGGATGTCTGGAACGTTTGAGGACAAGAACATATTTAGATTAGAAGATTAAAAGACTATAGAAGATTAAAAGATTAGATTTAGAAGATTTGAAGATTGGAAGATTTCATTTGATCAATTTTTCCTTCCTTTAGCTTTAAACTTGATTTTTCATTCGATAGACTTATATTGTGACCAGTATGTGTCTCCCTCTCCCTCTCTAACTGGGAGGATGCATTCAATATTGTCACTTTATAAGTATAACATTACATTTCAACCAAGGACAAAGCCAAACTACGCATGCAAAATGGCGAATTCGCAACGAAAGATAATTTATTTTGTATTTGCTAAGTTAGATGTCATATGTTCGTTAACTAGCTCATTATTCTAGCTCCAGAAATTTCCACGGTTCTTCAAGTGAACAAATTGTTCTTAGGCACGTAGTTCTGGAACAAGTAGTCGTAATGCATATTATGGTTATCGGACAGAATGAGGTTTAAATCACTTTACATCAATAATTCAGTCGAGTAGTGGCAAAATTATGCAGCTCAGTGGCTTTTTGGGGCGACTTGGAGGTGGCGGTTATATGTTTCCAGCATTGTGGCATCCTTTGTATAAGTTTTAGTGTTTTACACATTCACTATGTTCGTAGAAATATTTCCGGCAATTCGTTAGTGTGGCAAAGCACGGTTAAGGCACAGTTAAGGCACGGTTAAGGCACAAACTGCCCAAAAGCAACCATTATGATCGCTTAAGGCACGGTTAACAGACGGTTAACGCACGGTTGGGGAAATATAACATATAAACATACAAGTGGTTAACTAAGGCACGGTTAAGGCACGGCTAAGGAACAAGAGTTATTTCCATTACCCTCATGAGTTCGCTAACTAACCTATGTCTTACTGTCACCAAGATGCAGTTAGGTCTAACCAGTTATGTTTATGTTTCATGCTACTCTGATCATTATGAGCAGAAAATATTTTTTAGAATCTCGAGATATGTGGAAGTTCCATTTTTGCGAGCAAGTATATTTTATTTTCTCAATAATACATAGTATCATAATTCGAAATAGGAAAAAAAGGAGTAGACAAAAATTGTATTCTAACAAAACTGCTCGTAGAAACGCAAAATATACCCTTAACACTTAACTCAGCCCTTAAATTTTTCGGTCCAAATATGAAATTTACCAAACTTTTAAAATGGGACAAAAATCCTGTTCTCAGTGCACCGGCCCACAGTGACACCGCTTATATGCGGTGCGATATAGTAATGAGATCGTTATTATTTGTGTTAGTGCTTTAGTGGTCCCCTTGTATTACGCGGAGTACAATTGGAGTAAGATAAAAATAAAATCCATCGCAATCGTTTTACATTGATAGTGAGTACTAGTAGTGACCAACAAAGAATATCACAATTTATAAAATTCGAACAAGTGGATCAGAGGGCTAGCTTTGGGCCGAAAAAATTAACTTTTTCAATAATTTTATCTTCAAAAGTTGCAGCTTCACACTTATCACTTACAATCAACTCAAAATCAAGTGCAACTGCAAATAATCTTTAAAAAATATCCCTATAATTCCATTACATATTTAGTAAGAAACTTAAGAGCCTAGTATTTATCACAGAGATTATTGATCAACACACCAGTAATGATTTCTTAAAGTATTCATAAAAACTGAGCCACAAACTTATCTTTAAGTTTAAGGTAAAAATCTTAAAAGCAAGGAGGCTTACTAATTCAGTACAGCTGAAAAATTTGGTTAATTCTGGTTTAACGAAATGGAGTATTCTGGATCACGCCAAATAAATTACCATCAACAAAGCTGTTGTCCTAATTATCCTAATTATACCAGCTTAATTTTGGTAAAATATATCGTGCCATTATTCGCACGGTTATGGCAAGAAAGTGTGTATAAGGGGTCGTTTACATATTACGTAATCAGCTGAGGGGGGAGGGTTCCGAATGATTACGTTAGTGTAATTTTGACACAATAGCTATGTGTAAAACTGATTACGGAGGGGGGGGGGGGGGTAAAAATTGTTCAAAAAGTGATTACGTAATAATATGTGAACGACCCCTTATGGCAAGAAAGTGTGTATAAATCCACGATTTCCTTGATTCATTCTTTAATTAATTTTTTACTGCAACTGTAAAACAAAACCATTTTAACTCCTCAAACCGTGCGATAATCAATTAATTAATTAATTAATCACAACCATCACAGCGGTTTATTGTCCTATCTATGCAATAAATTCCCACATAAAAATCTACAAAGATCCGAAATCAAAATAATATTAATACTACTTATAGAATGCAAAATGACAGAGCTACAAGCCTACTAGTTTATAATTTATATTATTATTTATAAAGTTCGTCTTTTTAAACTTTTAAAGAAAGAAGTAACCATTAACAGGTCCCCCAAGATACAACAGGGCACTCTACGTTATATTTGAGACGGAAGTTGAAGTTTATAATAACCTAAAATGTGTTCTTCTAATTAGAAATTCTGATTAACTAATTATAAATTGTCGGCAATATGACAGCCATATAACGCCCCTTACAATATCTCCCGGAATAATTTAATGCAGAGTTGGTAACTGACTCGATATCGGTAACTGATTGATTTAGCCATGACTGCAAATATAAAGTCAACAAAAAACAGCGTTTTAAAACCATGGTATCAGTTACCATGGTAACAGTTACTGATATCAGTTACCATGGTTACAGTTACTGATAACAGTTACCATGGTAACAGTTACTGACATCAGTTACCATGGTAACAGTTACTGATATCAGTTACCATGGTAACAGTTACTGATATCAGTTACCATGGTTACAGTTACTGATATCAGTTATCATGGCTACAGTTACTGATATCAGTTACCATGGTAACAGTTACTGATATCAGTTACCATGGTTACAGTTACTGATATCAGTTACCATGGTAACAGTTACTGATATCAGTTACCATGGTTACAGTTACTGACATCAGTTACCATGTTAACAGTTACTGATATCAGTTACCATGATAACAGCTACATCAGTCTACCGTCCCCAGTTAGTTGATCAGTTTTGGGCAAGTCCTCACAACTGTCCATTAGATCATCAAAATCATCCTCACTTTCACTACTGTTCACCTCGTCTCCAAGTGTCCGCAACCTGTCGAATAGAGGGGTTTCACTTTCACTTTCAGTTCGAGTTCACTTAGCTTTCGTGGGGATGTGTGCAAAATGTCTTAGAAAAAAAGCAGGATAGCATTCCTAAACAATTTCATCCACAAGTATTAACTTGGGGTGTCAAGATTGAATATTTGAAGTATTAGCAGTATTTAAAGATGAAAGAACAACTAACCGTGTTTTGAGATGAGCAAGCTTCTTATCCTGGTGAGCCAGAAGAACGAGCAGGTCGTCCTGCTCAGAGGTCAGGTTCTCATACTTTTCCTGGAGGAGAGTTAGTTCCGTGTCTGTTGAACTGGAGCTCATATCTGGGGTAGGGGAACACGCACCGTCTTCTCCTAGGGAGGGTGGATTCGTGTTACGCCGCGTACTGGTTAGCTAGTTTAGACACGCGTTACGACGCGCAATCTAGTTTGCTATTTAAGATAGATTGACAATTTCTTCCTTTAACACATTAACTGTTCGAGCTCTGTTTGAGATACCTCTGACTAGTATCCAGTTTCAGGGAATAAGTTGGTCGAAAATTAAATTTGGTGTTATTGAAATGTTTCATGGGTTAATCCGGGGTTTACTTTTAGTGTTATACCCGTAGAAAACCCGTCAGAATTTACTCTTAAAATAATAAAATAAAGATCACTTATAACACAATAACTTTCTACATTATCTGAAACGAAGGAATACATGACGTACCATTGATGTCAATCTGACTAATCTGCGACTTCTCAAATACCCTCTCCGGACCCCGTACCTCGTGACTTGTCGTTTCTGACTGAGGGTACGAGGGGACTTAAAACGGTGAAAATATAGCACGTTATAATTTATCTAATATCAAGAAAATATCGTCATATGTTATGTTATACCAGAGGAATGTCGTCATATTTTCTCAGAATTCAAATCGCAGGGACCAGACAGTACTGCGGTTAGGAATTCCAGAATTCCAGATTACAAGCTCAATTATGTGGAAACTTGCATTTGTCGGGCGCTGGTTAAAAACCGATTATGTCGGCAGAGTTAGTCAAAGAATCTCCAGACGTTTGGTGATAACATCACGTGACGCTTACCCCGTTCACGTGACGTCACTCCTGTCACGTGATAGTTACTCCACCTCAGCCCAGAGTGATACAACTCCCCCGGAGTGGTACGGTTCTTTTCCTCAGGATGCCGACAGAATTCTTCACGAGGCAATGACGCGTGAAATGATGAGCTCGCAACGATGTTATATATTTTGATGATTAGTGTCGGTGGTGAAACGAGCGCGATCTATAGTACTGTGGTTAATAAGTGTACCCTTAGAAGATTCCAGATTTTTTGGCAGATTCCCCCTCATTTAACCCTCAATCACAGATTTCCCAATGATTCGGCTCAGTCTATTGGAGTATATTGCATAGAAGTCCTTAGCGTTCCTACTGCCTGTTGAACTTCTACAATCGGCAGGTTCCTTGCATTCTTTGAGAAGGGTTCGAAGGATTTCACCGTGCCATGAGCCATCAACCAACCCTAAAACCAAACCATAAATCAACTCACTTTGTTTAAATTCCTTCAACATACCTTTTTAAATTCCGTTGACTAACCTTACTAAGATTCCTGACTGTAGTTTTTTCTGACTTGAGGCGAGTCACTTCGCCCTCCAACCGCACTACTTCTGTCTTTAACCTCACTATCTCTACTTTTGACTCCTCTATCTCATTCTTTAAGCTCTCCACCTGCTGGGAATGACAGTGGTGAAGTATAAGATAACTTGAAATATTTCAAATAATTGACTTAAAATATTTCAGATAATAAACTATAAATGTTTCAGACAATAAACTTGAAATACATTAGATTATTAAGGACGGGATCACTGTATGGAAAATCACTACATAATAGCTCCACCTCACAAAAATCCATCACTTAACCGAACAGAGACTGATTAGTTTCACTAAATACATATACCGACTAAACTAATATCTCTCATCATAAATATGCTGATATAATCAACATACACCAGGAGGGAATAATATTAATTCAAACTGTAAAAACCAAATAGTTACAGGCGTGATCACATATTAATCGAGTATGAAAGTATCACTTCTAATCAATAGCGACACGACTAAATATACTACTCTTCTCCAGACTGCCAAACAATTAATATTATAAAGGAGCAGTAAAAATAGGTCTGACGTTAGAGTTATTATTTTGTCTGTCAAAATCAGATCAGGGTTGGTGAGGAAAGGTATTATAAAAACTGACGATTAATATTATAAAGGAGCAGAGGTATAAAAGCTACCTGGTCGTCGGTTGGGGAGGAGGGCTCTGTAACTTTTTCTTCTAAAACTTGTTCTACAGCTTGTTCTACAGCTTGTTCTACAGCCTGTTCTGCAAGTTGTTCTACCACTTCTTCTGCCGAGCTTTGTTTAGGAGTTTGTTCAGATGTTTGTTCAGATGTTTGTTCAGATGTTTGTTCAGATGTTTGTTCAGATGTTTGTTCAGATGTTTGTTCAGATGTTTGTTCAGATGTTTGTTCCTGTGCTGGAAGCTGTGAACGGTAGTACTGTTCATATTGATCCATGGTGTACACATACTGCTCCTCTGTGTAATACTGAAAATATTTAATTAGTAATTAGTACTAATCATTGATAATCAGCACTGAAAATAATTGTTGTATTTAAAAACGATCAGAAACGTTTCCAGCCCCCAAATTCGTTATAAATAGCTTTTTTTAAACATTTAAAGATAATATTCTTCGTTATAAATAACTTTCTTTTACATTTTGGGATATTCTAGCTGAATTATATTAAAGCATTAAGGGCTACCGGCATTACCTAGCACCTAAGCACCTACTAAATTAAACGATTCAAAATATTTACATCCAAATTCTGTTGTTAATGTCACCAGTATGAGTATCTCTCTGCAGTTTTGTGCAGATATTTGCAAACTTCCGTAATCAATCCAGATGTTTCCGTTCTAGGTTATCACGCGTAGAACGAAACATTAGAGACGATCATATTACATACTTGAAACATAAAAAGTCGTTACAATAATTTCATATATTAGAGAGCTAGAGAGGTCTCATCATTATATTATGCCGAAGTGGGTTTTTACAGAATAGCATAACGAATAATAAAATAATATTCGCTGTAAGTTGAAACCTTGACGCAGAGAAAATTTCAAGTCCAACCATTAACGGGCAGGCAATTTCACAGGTAGTGCAACCGTCTTAATTCGATCTAGCCCAGTCCGAAACATAAGATTTACGACAGTGAAATTTGAATTATAACGTCTAGATTTATTCTGTGTTTCGAGGAAATAAAATAATTTGAGGGTGATCTCAGCACGGTAATAGTATGTTTAGTTTGAGTTTGACGGCATTTAACGTTTGAGGGTTCAACGTTTTCTCTTTGAGGATTTAGAAGGGACCGGCGATTTTAATTTAAGCATGGGAATAACTTTGCGGCGGATTCGCGAGCCTAGACCCGGGTCGGCAGTGAGCAGTTATACAGATTACCTCCACAGCTCGACCACAGATTTACAGATTTACAGAACAGTCCGCGTTGTCTATTTAAGGAGTCAGCTAATAATGGTTGGTGGTCGTTTATAGTTGCCTGCCGACACAGGACGCTTGTCATACTCGCTATTTACTTTTCTGATTGTTGATACTGATAGGTGCCGCCTAATGGCTTTATACCTCTGCTCCTTTATACTTTTATAATAGTAATCGTTTAGTTTTTTAGTGGCGTCTTTGTTGAAATTCAACTATTCTCCGGTCTGGTCTGGTCTAGTGTCATTTGTCATGGTCACTACTCTTAATAGTTAGGTTGAGCGGTCGCTGACTGTTTATCACGATACTTGTATTTTTCTAGATAGGATTTAAAGTGAACCCTTATCATCAAAATTTCTTTAAGTCGGTAGTTCTTACTCGGGTATACCATAGCGTTCTCACTTACTAGTTACTCGGGTATACCATAGCGTTCTCACTTACTAGTTACTCGGGTATACCATAGCGTTCTCACTTACTAGCACTTACTCGGGTATACCATAGCGTTTTCTCACTTACTAGCACTTACTCGGGTATACCATAGCGTTCTCACTTACTAGCACTTACTCGGGTATACCATAGCGTTCTCACTTACTAGCACTTACTCGGGTATACCATAGCGTTCTCACTTACTAGCACTTACTCGGGTATACCATAGCGTTCTCACTTACTAGCACTTACTCGGGTATACCATAGCGTTCTCAATAGTTAACGTTTAATCCCAGCAATTTCACATATCCAACCCAGATTCACTACAACCCATGATTCTAGAACTTTCTCCAGACTAACAACTGCCTACAAACCATCTGTCCGGTACCCCTCATTCAGAGGAATGTTCTGGCTAATAGCGGGACGTGAGCGCGGGAGAGGGTTTCCTGTGCTCCTTTATAATATTAATCGTTTCCTGGTAAATCTATTATAGTCCCGTATCATATTTAGTTTAAACTTCCCCGACTTCCTTGGATTAATTTCTTGGCCCAATGACCCGATCTGTACTATTTTAAGCATATCTTTCGCCGGATTACGTAAGTGGAACAGTGATTATGCCGCATCTTAAATATGTGTGCAGACACTTATTCTGTCTATCCCTTTTTATACCGTGTAAACTCATTTGCCGCTCCAGATGTGTCAGAGATCAAGATTGGTCTCCGGTTTTGTCCTTTAGTTTGTCACAAGCTTGCTCACAAGCAGCAAGCTACCATGCTCGGTATTTCAATACCGTGAGATGTTCACTATTATAACTTACTGCAAGGTACGTCATATATCGTTTATATCAGAATGGTATTTATTATTTATCATTTAGTATCTTTCATCTTTCATAGAACTAGAAGCAATACGTAATTTAATAGCACATACGGTAATAACTAATAGCAAATTAATAGTCCATCTTTGAGAGTTTGATGAGAGCTTTGCAAGCATTCATTCTTAAAACATAGTTAATATCTTTAATTTTCCAGTTGAAAAATATGGAATAAATTAAAAGCACGCGCTTAACGCCGACTTTATTTACGAAATTCTCATTTCAGATCGGTGGTTCAATTCTTCGTTAACTTTAAGCTAAAATTATGTTACTTAAAAGTTATGACAAGGTCACAAATTTTCGGATGATCAACAAAATCTAAACTCTTCAGCGTTTTTAATTCTGTAAATTGTTTGTTACTGCTTATCGTTCATAATTTTATTACCCGACTGAATCACTATGACAAATGTACAGTATTGCAGATCACCAAAATTCAAACTTTTAAAGTCATACTTTTTGACTAATACCCCAGTTTATAAAAGTAACACTTGTCTCCAATTGTAAACTCCTCCGGAGAGACTCCGTACTCCGCCGCGCCGGGACTACAGTCTCGCTCATGAGTCTTGGTATAGTTGGAGCTAGCTCCGGGACTTGCTGGAGCTCAGCTCCGTAGCCCGGTAGATCCCACATCCCATCTTCAGCCGTATTGTGCGTATCCTTGATCTGTATGTCACGTACACGCTTAGCTACATACCTTATCGGCCCTAAATTAAAGCGGCCTCCATTAGACTTAGAGGGGAAATATTTGTTAGATAAGTGGTCTGACTTAGGGCCGATAAGGTAGATGATTCCTAACATTTTTCTGGTTATGCCTTTATTTTTAAACTGACAACAATTAATTCTTATCGTTTGACTGCACGTCTTGGGATATTAACTAGGAAGTAGGGCAGTTGTTGTCCAACTGTCCAGGACCCCCTTTGGCTCTTACTAATAAACAAATATATTTCATCGGCAGGTCTCTAATACATGGTGTGGCACAGTCGAACAAGGCATAGTTTGTTCACCGACAGTCGAACAAGGCATACTTTGTTCACTGACAGTCGAACAAGGCATACTTTATACTCCGACAAGTACAACAAACATCAGCTATATCTGCCCCTTAAAACCAGACACCTGTCTATCGGCACGTTGTTTAATGTTTACCCAATAACATAACTATATCATTAGAATATCTAGACATGACCTTTGTATTTTTGAGCGCCGATGGTGGGAGAGGGCTGCTCCTTCATAATATTAATCGATAGGAGAGAGCTCTCCACTGGTCAATTTTACCTTAACGCCAACAGACATAGCTCATTAACAGCGTCAACTGGAAGCTTGCACTAGCTAAATGACATGCCAGCCGCCGACACTCGCACCACCGGGGACGTTAAGTACAAAAATCAGGCAACTGCTCCTTCATAATATTAATCGTTTAGCAGTTGCACATGCTACTGCAGCTCCTTCTTAATATTAAACGTTTAGCAGTTGCCCGATCTAAAAAAACCTAAACGTTAGACGACCAAACGGGGCGGGGATAGTGGCTCCTTCATAATATTAATTATAATGGCCTATTCCCCACCCCAAAATAAATCACCTGACAATAAATCCACCAATGGCATACCTCTCCGATTGGTAGAACAAACCAAGATAAGTGAATTGCCAGCCTCCGCAAAGTTATTGTCACACTCTACATTAGTACGTGGGAATTGCGGTACAGTGGGACGCGTAAGGCGTGAGGACAGATAATCCTTCGTTCCGGTGGCTGACGTTCAACATAAATGTTCAGTTAATATTATGAAGGAGCAGTTGGATTATTGGGTTAGAACTCATTCCGTTGGTATTGTTATGCCATTAACAGGACTAGAAGCCTCACCTTTGTTTAACTTGTGAAATTAAATTATAGTCGCCCTGTCCAAAATATAAATTCACATATGTGAGTCATATATCTCTAATGTTTCGTGCTGTGTTTATGTTATTTCCCCCTGTGGACTTTTTTTGCGTTTTACTGAAGGAGCAATGTAAGCCTGGCTTATATTGGGGAACTCAGGAACTGGTAAATAATTAATATTATAAAGGAGCAGTAGCCTTACTTATGTCATGGTCGTCTGCTTTCAGCAAATTTACAGAAATAATCATAAGTTCATAAAATTGATACAAAGGTTGTGTCGTATCGGCTCCTGTACTCTTGGTCGGCAAAATCCCCGTAATGCTCCGTAAGTATGCCGAATAAAGTAATACCGCTTTAAAATAATAATGACTTCATTTAATCGCGATTAATGACAAGCTTAAACATGCCTTTGTGCATCATACTTTTGCTGCGGAGGGGGGATTCCTAGCAATATCGTTGATCGAGATAACGGTATTCTATATACCAGCAACAAATGACCTAAATACACATACGTGCGGACACGCGCAGTACCAACTCCTTTATAATATTAACCGTTTAGCAGAAAATAAAAATGCAGTTAAGTCAGATCCTTGGTGTGCATGATCCTCCCTCATCTTCAAATCTTGCCGGGGTCAGGGCAGGTCAGATAAAATCATAGTGCGGTCACTACACAACAACCAGGTGGTTCATATTTTCCGACCAGGGGGTTTGTCGTCGTCATGAGCTAGTTTATGTAATTGTGTATGATTGATTAGGGTAACGGGAGTTTAGGTCATAGTCGCTGTTAAACATACCAACGTTAACGTTATTTAATCCATTGACTTAATTCTTTTTTCGTGGGCCGTTGGAATTGCACCCATTTTATAGTTTGCTCCTTCATAATAATAATCGTTATATAACTATGTTTGTAATTCTCATCATGTTGCGTTGATCATTGGCAATCTAAATGTCTCTAACATTTGTTCCTAGTTTAAATATTCTTAATCTTCTTTATTGATTCCTCGATTTTAATCCAAACAGCTTAAGTTAACACTAATCTAACCATAACCTTTTTAACCCAACATTTATCATTTCAACCCTGATTATAAGTTACCCCACTGTATCCATGAACCAACCCTCACCAATTAACCAATCTTACTAAACCCCCATAATGACCCCTCTTAACCCATCCTACTGACCCCTCTTAACCCCTCATACTGACCCTACCACCCCATAGCGATGGAGCGTGTGTCGAGTGTGTTTGTTTTTCTGGTGACAGTTCTGGTGACAGTGACAAGCAGTACCCGGTGCTACATGTGCAGAGATGTTATCCAGAGATCGGGCAATAGGCGTGCCTTTAAGGAACATTACGCAGAGCTCACTAGCTCCGGTTGGATTGTTCCTTGCTCGGATGAATCTTTTGTTGTGTTCCCTCAGGTAGGAATTAATATAACCTCTCTGACCTTGATACTCCATGTAGAATAGATAAGGAATTATTTGAAACTAAAATCTGCATTCTTGTGTTTTAGTGAAATATTCAGTAACATGGTTGATTAATTTTATTGCTGACACAAATTGATTTTCCCAAGGTCGGGTGTATGAAGAGAACTTACATCACCTATGAAATGTGCTTCCCAAACAAGAAATGTACAGTCAAGGTACGATTTAATCTTTATTCAATCTTCTGTCTTATCATCTGATACTATCAATGTATCTAATCTTATCTCTTTATATCGAATCTTATCTCTTTATATCTAATCTTATCTCTTTATATCTAATCTTATCTCTTTATATCTTGCATAGTATCATTATTCAAAATTATCTCTCTGGAACCGGTTTACGTAATCACCAAATAAACAATCATACTTCTTTCTCTCAACCTCAATAAAAACCCTCAAAATCTCATCAAATTCACAAAACACCCATCCCACCACCCTAAACCACCACCAATTCATTAATCCCTCATCACCCCGTCCACAATCCACCCCGTCAATTCATCACTAATCCCATCACCTCCGGACAAACGAGCATCCCCACACTTCCCACTCTCCACCACTCACCTCTCAACCAATCAGCACCCAGCAGCCCCTCCTCCAACCAATCACAGCTCAGTACTCCCTCATCCCACCAATCACAGGCCACTATCCCGCGAGTCCTAGACACTAACCGATCTCCCGGGAGACCACTGTTTCTTTGAAGCATTCCCGGTTCATGCCCAGCTCATTCGCCACCCTAACCTCCCTCTCATATTGCAGTAATATTACTGGCAAACTTGTTGGTCGTTAGCTTTATTACTGGCCGGCTTTGCAAAGGAGTGCGGTGCACAGCCCACAGGTTGACGGCATACAGGCCAAACTTAGCTTACCGACACGACATATATATGTTACTTTGTATCTTATACAAACGAGCACTATACTAATTATATATATCGGTCTAGATTTTACAGAGACCACCGACGGAGCGTATACCAACCAAGATATCATTATTATGCAGATTTGTTATTAGTATTATGCGAATATCATCTAATATGTTGACCCCCCAGGTGACGGAAAGGTACCCAGTGCTGCCACCTGCCTTCACCGTCGGGCAGTCCTTCTGGAGCAAACCTTTCAGGGAGGGTATAATCAGGAATGAAAAACCATGCCAGAGTAAGAAAACCGCATTTTATATTTACTATTTTATTGAATATTTTATAATTTTACTTGATATTCATACAAATAATAGTATTAAATAATTTTACCGGACCAGAGTAGGTCAACCGCATTTTGTTGTATTTTCTGTAGAAATAAATTAACGATGATATTATTTTCTGTTATGATTTAAAACGGTATTTATGAACGCAGGGAAAATAAGGTCCCTTCGAGGATAAGAGTAAACCATTTAATGGTCAGAACCATAGAGCATTATATTACTAATTCTAATAATAATGTCCAAATAAGCCAAAATATACCCACTTAACCATTTTCCCGCTCTTTTTAATCTCCCGCCTAACCCAAACCCCGCTCAGGTGACTTATGCAACGGAGAGTACAAGAACGAGTACAAAGTAGGTTTGAAATGTTACCATCAATGTGGCAGGATCAATCTCTACGGACTGACCAAGGAGGAACTGGCCAACTACGATCTCCCTGTCATCCCCTGTGATGAAACCACTTACAACTACTGCGGGTAAGTAAACTTTCACTTTCACTTTCACTTTCACGTCAATGAGCCAATCAACAGTTACAAAAGGCTAGCTTAGTTTACGATCTCTTTATCTTATTAGCATTACACGTAAACATTTCTCCTTTTAATTGTAATTAATTTGATTAATTAATTAATTAATTAACATTCCTCCTGCAGGAATAACATGGAGTGTGGATACATAGTTGGAAGTGCTGTTTACTCTGATGACTATCTCGGTCGGGAAATCACCGTCGAAGGATGGTAAGATATTATGCAACTTTAGATTTGTTTGGAGAGACGAATCATACACAGTTTAGGCTCTTGAATTCTTCGAATAAAATATCATCTTTAGAGAACCTCCTGAACAGAATTGAGTTAGACTCATACTTATGTGAAACAAAACAGCCTTAAGATATTATACACTCGGGGATGAATTTCTTTTTTAGCCATTTAGTTTATTATTTCTGTAACTTCTGTTATTTCCCTGTCCCTTATCTCCCACCCTTGTCCTCTTAATCCTTTATTTCTTGAAGGTATGCAGACTGTTTCTACAAAGATAGCAACTCCATAGACCACGTTTTGGTGCAAATTCGCATGATGATGGAGGAGCACCCAGATTTACAGGTATGTTCTTGTTTCAGTATCACTTTCACTTTCAGTTTCACTTCAACGAGTCATTAAACAGTCACAATCGGCTGTTGAAATAATATCGAAGTAACCGATCATATTTTCAAGACATCCCAAATTATCTTAAATCATCTTAAATCGCCACGTAATCGTGCATAATATATATAATCTCGGTGACACCATCCTGACCAACAGTCTGTAACTCCACAATTTCTCTAGATATCCCCCGATGACCTGACCAAATGTGACTCAGAACTGTGCAACCACATCGACTAACGTGACTCCTAAGTGATGACGTGATCACATCCGCTATGACGTCATACCACACGGCTCCAATTATGACGTCATGAGACTGTGACGTCATAATTGTGACGTCATGAGATAGTGACTTCACTGTGACCCTATCAAGCGATAGATCTGGATACTGGTGGGGAGACGACCTACACTTTCTCTGATGAAACTTCACAGCGAACTATTATATCTCATATCCGCACAAGTATCCAGGTCTTTTATGTCACAGTGACATACGATTGTGTCACAGTGACAATTGTGTCACAGTGTGTCACAGTGACATACGATTGTGTCACAGTGTCACAGTGTCACAGTGTGTCACAGTGACATACAATTGTGTCACAGTGTCACAGTGTGTCACAGTGACATACAATTGTGTCCTGGCGAGAAACACCCATAGAGACGACACAACAATGACTCACCCTGCTCCCCCGTCCACCAATCCGGGGTGCAAATAGGATTAGGATATTTAATTATTTAAAATTATTAGAAACGTTAGTTAGGTTTAATTTTCAGTAAAGATTATGTTAAGTTTTTTCACTGAATTATGTTCGAACATGACCAGCTGTTTATGAGATTTTTAGGTTCAAAGATGTACGGAGTTCGCACTTTTTCTATTTCAAAAAGTGATCTCATTTGTGAGTGTTAGACTTTTTCCAAGACCACGGTGTGTTAGGAATGAAATTTTCTTTTTTCTATTTTTGATTGTAATAAGATTTCAAGTTAAATTTATCAGTTTTCATTAGAAAAAGAAGTGAAGTCGTTAATTTTTTGTCGGAGGATTCATCAACCGGAACAATGCAAAGCAATGCGATCCCCAGAATTTAGATTACATAAAGACGAAGCTAGATTTATTTAGAGACACTATCCACTAATGATCTTCAAAACTGGAAAATATTCGCATATTTTAAACAAGTTATCGCCACCAGTAAATCACCTTAGCTACTGTAATCTATGTAATTTGCAACATCTCCCGCTGGACAAATTCAATAGGGAGTAGGGCAATGCAGGGGCTGCTTATTAAGTTACCTGATAGTTTTACCGTTATAAGGGAGTTAATAAGCTACCATTTTGAGGGTTTAAGGACCACATGTTAACCCTAATTAAGTTATTAAATACGTAGAGACTTCTAAACTACTGTGAACTGTGCACCCCACACTTCGCGTTGAAGAGTCGCACAAAATATATTCTGACCAGATCAGTACTCAGTAGTACCCGCTCCAAGATAGGACACTATCATTATTATTATATTCGTGGGTCATACATCCGTATCCCGATGGCACTGTCGTGGCACTGTCGTGGCACTGTCGTGGCATTGTCGTGGCACTGTCGTGGCACTATGGTGGCACTCTGGCGGTACTCTGGCGGCATAGTGCTAACTTTCAATCATGTTCGTAAGACGAGCTCCATAAGGAAATAGCATCAGTGATGGTTCACACTTCCCGATCTTTCAAGTATACCAGCTACGACGAGATCATGAAATGTTCTCAACAGAAGCTTGCTGCATGATACAGCTACCAGCTACCTACTGCAGCTATCGTTCAACTATTCTCTACAGTCTAGATCTCCTTTCAAATCAATCAATCTGTTCTAGTAGAGATCTTGAAGACTGAGAAGATATCTTGCAGAACCTGGTTCCAGAAACGACCCATCGCGGAGCTAAAAATCCTGGATGCAGCCAAGTTCGACGAACTGTATGCAGTTAGCTTCTGTTGAAAACATCCCATGATCTGGAAACTCATCCTAGCTGGCTTATATGTCATATTCTGTGACATTATTGCAAGGTACATCGTAGCAATCACATGACACACCTCACGTCCTCACGTGAAGTTAATACCTACGTCATAGCAATCCAGATTCTAAAACACCTGAACATTGCACGTGGGACTTGTTATTGTTATACCCTAAGTGTATCCTGCAGGAATGTTATCGCAACGCTAATAAGCTGATAGCATGTGACACGTCACCAGATCAGGATTGTAAATAACAAGGCTTCGACAAGGCTAGTAAATAAAAGGTAATGCTTTTATGACACCGTGGCTATTAAAAGGCTAGTAAATAAAAGGTAATGCTTTTATGACACCGTGGCTATTGTGAAAAAATAATAATGAATGTATAATGATTGTCTTCTGCTTTTGAAAGAACATGATTGAAAGTTGGCCATGAGAATGCCGCCATAGTGCCACGACAGTGCCACGAGATTGCCACGACAGTGCCGTCGGGATCCGGATGTATGACCTATTCGTAATGAAATTCTTATTTACTGAACCTTAATTCTGGAAATCGGAATCCATGCAAAGTCTTAAAGTGAATCTGCAAACACAAATCCCCATCCCTTCACCAAGTACATAAAAAAGCACGATCTTTTTTATGAAGCACGCCTTATCACAGTGACACCCTTACTTACCAGGAAGATGCCAACATTCAACAATGGTGTGCTCTAAATAATAAACTTAAATTAAAGAAAAGAGAAAAGAAAGTGAAACTCACATGACCCTCAGTTGACTGGTAGTACGTGATACCATCCTCAGCGAGCGCCGGGGTGAACCACTGGGAGTAGTCGTAAAGATACTCCCTACTGACACCACTGGCTGTTACTATAGAAACAACAGGTGGGCTTTGCGGAGTAGTTTCGGTTGCTTGCGGAGTAGTTTCGGTTGTTTCTGGAGGGCTTTCAGCTGGTTCTGGAGGGCTTTCAACTGGATCCGGTGTTGCTTCAGCTGTTTGGGCCGAAATTTCAGATTCTGGCGTAGTTTCAACCGTTTCTGGTGCAGTTTCAGATTCTGGCGCAGTTTCAACTAATTCTGGTGTAGTTTCAGATTCTGGCGCAGTTTCGACTAATTCTGGTGTTGCTTCAACTAATTCTGGTGCAGTTTCAGATTCTGGCGCAGTTTCGACTAATTCTGGCGCAGTTTCAACTAATTCTGGAGCGTTTTCAACTGTTTCCGTAGATTGTTCGACAAATTGCGAAGCGCTTGGCTCAACCTTATCTGCTTGCAATTGCTGCAATTCAACCTGAAATAAGAAGGCTATATAACTTAATTACGCATATACCGTCTGTCAAACAATGAAATATAAAAAACCCGTTGGATTAAATTAAATACAAAAGAACTGAAGATTGCATCATACGCTCCCACCCCTATCCTTAACACAATTTCACATTAAATGCGTGCACCTGTTTTAAACACCAATACTCCACAAGTATTTGAAATAGCTCTAAACTAATAACATAACTCTGTGAAATTTATTTTGTTGATTATAATGTTGTGATTGCATAATTTATTGTAAATATAATATGTTTCAGAAATATGTAACGTGATGGAAGATATTTTAAACGGGTCATACCCTGACCAAACCCAGGATGCATAATGCATAACACGAAGAATTTGTTGTAACTTTGTATGAAAAGTATTAATAACATAATGAGCGAATATATTGAAACCCACCCTAAGGAGAGTAATATCGTCTTCCAAGGTCACGTTCCTCTCTTTGTACTCTTGTAGTTCAGCGTGCAACCCTTGCAATTCCTGCAGAGAGAAAGGTGTTGTTAGAAGAATAGTGTTATTATTAGTAGAATGATTATAGTTTACAAGCCAAGGCAAAGTTTGCGGGGGCTTCACATTTTTAACGGTGCGCGTTTTGTACTACAACGCTATAGACCAAAAATTGTATTCATATTATTAAAATTTTTCAAATTATTCAAATTATCCATGGTACAAGCAGGAAGCTCGCCGACACAATCAACTTTTAACAAACTTCCCCTGAAAAAATAACCAAGTCGGCCAATTCAACAGAGGCATTTTCTAAAAAAAGATATCTAGACGCGCCCATAAAACTAACAGAGTGTTGCAAAGTACCCGTATAATAATGTATTGTGGTGGTAACAGCAATTGAAAACATGTGGTAGTTTGTTATCTTAACAGCTCTGTCCCACCTGACAGTGCACTGACAGCAGCTTAACTAAACACACCTAAAACACGTATTGTCATTTGTCATTATGTTACGTTTGCTGGTAGTGCTGTTAGTGCTGGTGAGTGCGGTTTTAGGACAGCTACAAGAGCAGGATGATCTGCCGGATTTTACATTCTTTCCGGAGTATGAGAGTAACAGGAATGTCAGATCTGCTAACACCACCTCTACTAACATCACGACTGAAGCAACAGCTCCTCTCCCTCCCACCAACACCACAACAGCCCCTCCTATTAGGGCAGCAGCGGCAGGAGATGAAACATTCTCCTCTTCTACCGCATCCTCCTCCTTCTCCACACCCACCGCTCCCTCCACCTATCCCCCTCTACAAACATCTGTCAAACCTCCCAACAAATCTCCTAAAACAGGGCCCATGTCAGGGATATCCAGACCAGTGATTATAGCGGTGATAGTAACAGTTGTGCTGGTGGCTGTGTTGGTGGTGGTTCTGGGGGTGTTGTTTTGGAGGAGGAGACAGGGGGGCCGATATCAGCATATCAAGCAGGGCGTGGAGATGACGGAGAATGTTTACAATTAGTTGGGGGATTAAGAGCTAATTATTAGTGGTCAGCTGATCAGATAATTGATCAGATGAGCAGATAGATGATCACTGATCAGGTATGTTGACTTGAGGTCATTGTTGGAACTTGGAGAGGTTGGAAGTCCAACAAAGGTGTGTTGTGTAGATTATATACAAACAGGAGATAAAACTTTTATCTGATAAAAGTTTAGATGTCACTGACAGTAACTCCAACAAATTCATTATTTAAAAGACATTCCACATGTTGGGACAGAATAAGATTGAGCATCTTATTTTCTTGAAATTATATACGTTATTTTGTAAAAACATAATTGTTTGGCGGATTTTTGTTTATATCACATGTATGGCCAATTACCATCGATCTATTCAAGCAATTTTAAAGCGAAACCCATCTTTGTGTAATATGTTTTTCAATTTATTTCACTTTTAAATGAAGTGTGGTGTTTAAAACGCAATTCTGGTATAAGGATCCAAAACCCAACAAAATCAAACCTCAAGCTTTGCGCTGAGTAGCTGTACCTCCGCTGATTTAGCAGTTTCAGGGGCCATGTTTGAGCTCACATCTTCGCTAGACTGGGTGTTGGATGTTTCCTGAGACTGTTCGTCATCTTTTTCTTCCAGAGTCCCCTTCAACAGAGAAAATTCCGACTCTGTTTCTGATAGTTTCACCTTCAAGAACGATGTTTCACTTTCACTTTGTGACAATTTCTCTTGCAACAAACTCAAACTGCTTTCTCTTTCTGATAAAAGCCCAGTCAAACCAAAAGCTTCGCTTTCAGATGCCACAACTTGACCTTCAATTTGGGAGAGTTGTTCTCTTAAAACACTCATATCGCTCTCTGCATCGGAGAGTTTCAGCTTTAACGAGCTGTTAAGAGTTTCACTTTCAAAGAGTTTCTCTTTCAGACTGACTGATTCGCTTTCTGTTTGGGAGAGTTTCTCCGAAAGGGCAGTAAGCTGGTCACGCAAATCACCCACAGTTGAGTTTGCTGTAACGAGTTCATCGCTAGTGTTCTGACGAAGTTCTGTTTCTTGGACACTCGTTTCCTGATTAATGGGAATCTTTATTTACATTTTATGGCCGACATCATAAGGCATTTCTTGAGAGTTACAAGTCTTAACTCTAATCATAATTAGCAACATAATATATGGTAAGTATAAAAATTGATCAGGAATCAACAAAGATCAGGTGAATGAGTAGATTTTCATTGAAATACACTAAAATTCACTAAAATTCACTAAAATCTCCATGTCACAAGCCATTACCTGCGCAGTAATCTTCATCTGTTCCAACTGAGCAACCAGTTGTGACATGTACTGATCCTGTTGGTGCTTCTCAAACCTCAGCTGTTGTAAGCTGGTGTCTTGGTTAGCTACTGTTTGTCTTAGTTCGTCTGTTGCACACTCCTGGGATTGTTGTGATGACGTCATGTGTTGTTGTGATGACGTCATGTTTTGTTACACAATAGAAAAATATGCTTCAGAACGGACATTTTTAGCCCAGCTTATCGTAATTTGAAGTATTTCCCTCAGAAAATGACAATACTGGAAGAATATAGCCACTACCTCGGAAATTTTGCTAAGTTTATTATTATGATCAATTGAATTTATAATTATTATCATTTATAATCATGATCAATTGAATGACAAGCCGTGTGTAAAATTAATCAACTAATCAAGCCAAATTTCAACAATTAGCCGACCTGATTTCTTCTCATCTCCTCAATGGAAGCAGCCAGTGAATCTCTCTCTGCCAGCACTTGTTCATACTCTGATGAAACCACGTGTTGTTGCGATGACGTCACGTGTTGCGGAGGGCTGGTATCGGAGGAGGCTGGTTGGGTAGATTGAAGTTGTTCCATTTGCTCAGTGTACCTAAAGTGAGGAGGGATCAAAACCTTTAAATTGGCGTTAATATTACCATTGATATCCTGGGGCCCTAAAATGACTCGTCCAGTCTTATCCTTAAATTGGACATAACTCACTAGCTGAACGAGCACTGAATTGTCGGATTAAAACTTGTGAATCTGACCTCCAGCTCGCCATTTTTGAGATTCAAGCAAATCGAGGATGTTCAAAGGGTGCAGGATGTTCAGCTCGTCAAAATACTGGCGGAAATTATTTGGTAGGCCCTAAAACGACTCGTCCAGATCCAGTCTTATCCTTAAATTGGACATAACTCACTAGCTGAACGAGCACTGAATTGTCGGATTAAAACTTGTGAATCTGACCTCCAGCTCACCATTTTTGAGATTCGACCAAATCGAGGATTTACAAAGGGTGCAGGATGTTCTACTCGTCAAAATACCGGTGGAAATTATTTGGTAGGCCCTAAAATGACTCGTACAGATCCAGTATTATCCTTAAATTTGACATAACTCACTAGCTGAACGAGCACTGAATTGTCGGATTAAAACTTGTGAATCTGACCTCCAGCTCACCATTTTTGAGATTCGACCAAATCGAGGATTTACAAAGGGTGCAGGATGTTCTACTCGTCAAAATACCGGTGGAAATTATTTGGTAGGCCCTAAAATGACTCGTACAGATCCAGTATTATCCTTAAATTTGACATAACTCATTAGCTGAACTAGCACTGAATTGTCGGATTAAAACTTGTGAATCTGACCTCCAGCTCACCATTTTTGAGATTCGACCAAATCGAGGATTTACAAAGTGTGCAGGATGTTCTACTCGTCAAAATACCGGTGGAAATTATTTGGTAGGCCCTAAAATGACTCGTACAGATCCAGTATTATCCTTAAATTTGACATAACTCACTAGCTGAACTAGCACTGAATTAGGCGGGGCGGGGTGCCGGGTGGGGGGGCGGGGGCACTCTCTGAAGCCTACTTTAAAACACCACCAGCTCACCAGGTTTGTAGCTGAGCAATGTACTGCTGATAATACGTCTCCTGATCCTTGGCGTACTGTTGAGCTGTTCTATCTGTTGTTGTGATACGTGACTGGAGGGCTGTTGTGTTTCTTGTACGGGTGGGGAGGCGCCTGAAACAACATTTAACGGATAATGATAGTAAATATTAGGGAGGTTCAAAATAACAAAATATTCTCAAATAATTGCTTACTTCGGCTTATCTGTTGTTCCTAAGGTCAAATAGCTGCCAATACATTTTGAAGCTTCAACCCGAATCGGAATCACTGCCCCGACCACGCCCATTTTTTATTTATTAAATATGCTGGATAATAGGAACTCTATCTAGAAGACTCGCCATTAATTAAACGAACATTCCTAAAATATCTAAAATATCTCTTCTAAACAACAGTTACATTTAGATTTCGAACAATACAGTTGCAGACCCGAACAAGTTTAACAACAGCAAGTGTAACAAGTGTGACAACAAGTGTTACAAGTGTATCAAGTGTAACAAGTGTAACAACAATTACAAGTGTAACAACAAGTGTGACAACAAGTTTAACAAGTGTAACAACAAGTGTAACAAGTGTAACAAGTTTAACAAGTGTAACAACAAGTGTAACACAAGTGTAACAACAAGTGTAACACAAGTGTAACAACAAGTGTAACACAAGTTAAGTGTAACACAAGTGTAACAACAAGTGTAACACAAGTGTAACAACAAGTGTAACACAAGTGTAACAAGTGTAACACAAGTGTAACAACAAGTGTAACACAAGTGTAACAAATGTAAAAAGTGTAACACAAGTGTAACTAACATTGAGTGAGCTGGAACTTGAGTCTATTAATCTCCTCGTCCTGCTCCATGATAAGAGTTTTGTATCCAGCCACTATTTCGTCATGAGAATCTATCGTGTTTTCCGTTTCTGTCTCCTCTTCTCCTTCCAGCGCTCTTGTTACTATATCTAAAACAAGGGGTAAAATCAAAACTCTAGGTTAACGTTTCCGTACAAAATATTTCTAAATTCGGTAGTAAACTTTTTTAATTTATTTTAGACACCCGGCTGAAATTTTAAGCCTTTCTTGCATTACTAGTTAGCGACGCTAAGATTATTAAAGTAAGCTCATATACAGGATATCCTACTGTAAGGACTAGACATTAACGCTTACAAATAATGGAAAATAAACCCAAAAAACCTTGTTAAAAATATACCTTGTTGTTTTTTAAAGACGTTCGTAAAAGAGAAGTCAAAATACCGGTGGAAATTATTTGGTAGGCCCTAAAATGACTCGTCCAGATCCAGTCTTATTCTTAAATTGGACATAACTCACTAGCTGAACTAGCACTGAATTGTCGAATTAAAACTTGTTGTCGGATATAAAAATATACCTTGTTGTTTTTTAAAGAACTTCGTAAATGAAAAGTCCAGGAAGAGCTCCTCAACATTCTCCGCAGTAGGATGTGGAGACTTGGTAGCCTGGGTGAAGAGCAGACTAACTGAAGCTGAGTCAAGTAGCTCCGTGTATATCTCCTTGCCAACACGGTGCGTAATCAGGTGTAGTAGTGTCTCTCTGAAAGAGAGAGAGGGTTAATGACATAATTATTAGTATTTATAGTTAATTAATTAGGGGTAATTAGCAGTACCCACTCGGTGTGTTATCAGGTGTACTGGTGTAGTAGAGTCTCTCTGGCATTTAAACATGTTAACACTTCTTTTTTTTTTTTATTTTATTAAAACAGTTATACAACTTATTAACATTTCATTTACTTTGTGTAGTGCTGGCAAGAGTTGTCGTTGTACTTCAGACATAGTCCCATTAACATAGCCCCTAGGCTGGATAACAGGCTCGCTGAGGCGTCCTGTCCGTCTGTAATTAGTTGTAATTAGATGTGATTAGTTGTAATTAGTTGTAATTAGTTGTAATAGTGGGTGGGAGGGGAGGGGGAGGGGAATGTTGACCCTGCCATACATTTTCTAGGGCTTGGATTATTCTTTCAAGTATCAAAATCTGAATCTGAATCTGAAACTTTAACATTACCATAATATAACAATTTTAATATGACTATCACAGCGTGATTTACTTTACAGCGTGATCTTTATTATATTAACATTCTCATAACTGAGTCTATTAGGAAGAAAAAAATCAGAAATTTCTTGAATGAACAAATGATACTAGATCTGTACACGACTTAATCAATAATCAGCTTGGATTATATGAAAATAAACAGCGATTCTGGAATTGATCGAAACATGTACAGCAAAACCCCGATTTACCGCAAACCCTTATTTACCGCAAACTCCAATTTACCACAAACCCTTATTTACCGCAAAACCCAATTTACCACAAACCCTTATTTACCGCAAAACCCAATTTACCGCAAACCCCAATTTACCGCAAAACCCAATTTACCGCAAACCCCAATTTACCGCAAAACCCATTTTACTGCAAACCCCAATTTACCGCAAAACCCATTTTACTGCAAACCCCAATTTACCGCAAAACCCATTTTACTGCAAACCCCAATTTACTGCAAACCCTTATTTACTGCAAACCCTTATTTACTTCATACATTGCACGAATTTGTTGATCAGTAATACACAGCTTCTGAGTCATCCTTTCTGTTTTGGGTACCCAAAACACTAGCGAGATTTTGTAATCTGTATCTAATATCTATATTGTAATCTGTATCTAGATTGTTGTGTTATCTAGATTGTAAGGGGGGGGGGGGGGGGGGGGTGGGGGGGTTAGTTATAACTTACATCTGGTCTGTCAAAATAAATTCTACTCAGTATTCAGCAATATTACATATACTAATATATATATATAATATTATATAATACCATTATTTTTACCCTCGTGAAATAAGCTTATGGTTCGTGGAGAAGGACTCCTGTCACCTGGATCACACGAATAGCTGACAACTAAACCTTTGTAGTATTAGTTCTCCAGAAGATAAAATAAACATCTTTCTTTTGTTAAATGTAAAAGTCACGTTCCAGTTTCACGTCATAAATATACAGGAGCTTATTATCGAACTACAGATGCGGGGAACAAAGGTAGGAATATTTGACAGAGTCATACGTCTATAATACCATTCACTCCGACCTACGGCAAAAACTTTGTAATTTCGTTCTCATAGTCTTATTATTGTGCACGCTGTCAAATTTAGGGAGGGGGGTTTAGGGGGCAACTCTCTTGTATAGCCGTGATATAGCTGTTCCTTGCAGGAGAGGGGGGCTGGGGGGGGGGGGGTTCTCAGAAACTAACCAGTGTGTTCCACCAACTCCAGAATGTAAGGCACGAAAGCGTTGTTGTTGAGCAGTGTAGCAACTGCGCCCGGGCATTCCTCCACCCAGTGTAGCAGCAACATTAGTGTTCCAAACCTCGTGCGCGCACTCGAGTCCTGTAGAGAAATAATTACTGTAAATAAGACAAACTGACGGACAAACGTAGGGACAAACTGACTGACAAACTGACGGACAAACATAGAGATTACAGACAAATACTATCAATGAGCCAAATTAACTGACGAACAAGCGGACAATAATTAAACACACACTCTGATTCATGGACATACAGAGAGTTGACCTTCTTTCCAATGACAACGACACAAGGACATATCATAAACACAGGTCAACGACACAGACTGAACAAGTGACAGCGATACTGGTATTAAATTTGCCGCTGATTGGTTAATCACGGTCACGTGTAAAACTCACGTTAGCGAGCATCTGGAATACTTGGTTGATAAGGTGCACGGGGGGTAGCCCTGAGGTTAGTTCTAGCTGTACTTGTAACATGTTCTCGTGCTGAAATGTAGTTGTCATGGTTACAGACCATGGTTACTGCAAACCATGGTTACAGACCATGGTTACAGACCATGGTTACAGACCGTAGTTACAGACCATGGTTACAGACAATGGTTACAGACCATGGTTACAGACCATGGTTACAGACCATGGTTACAGACCATGGTTACAGACCATGGTTACAAAACAGATGAGTAATAATGGGTTTAGAATTATCCCAAAAATATCTTAAATGCGGAAACATCTCCCTAGATGATAAAAGTAAATAAATCTTGATAATAACAATAAATAACAATAAATAACCCTTGACAAAGTAAGCAGTGTTGTAAGAAGAAGAAGTTGGTTGGTTGGAAAGTTCACTAGAAATAAACTCGGTACTAACGCCTTAAAAAGTTCATTTACAGTTACCTGAGCGATGTTGTTATAAAGGCAGTGAGAGAGCGTTACACTACACAACCAGTGTGCCACAGAGTCGTTACTGAATAACCCAGCACAGAGAAGTTGACCCGATGTTACCCCTACTTGTACATCTGAAACATCGAGGATTTAGTTGAATATAATGAGGATTTAGTTGAATATAATGAGGATTTAGTTGAATATAATGAGGATTTAGTTGAATATAATGAGGATTTAGTTGAATATAATGAGGATTTAGTTGAATATAATGAGGATTTAGTTGAATATAATGAGGATTTAGTTGAATATAACGAGGATTTAGTTGAATACGATGAGGATTTAGTTGAATACAATGAGGATTTAGTTGAATATATTGATGGTTTAGTTGAATACACTGAGGATTTAGTTGAACTAGCATAACCCTAAAGTGGTGTCGAGACTAAAATAATTATTACCTATTTAATTCGCGTTTTTGACACCACTTGGGGATCCAAATTTTGGGCTCTAAAATCATTATTCCTTGGCCAATTTTTATTTTTTCATGCTGATTTGGAGGCCATTAAAGCATTTGACCCAGTCAAAAAGTTTCAGTTGTATATCTTTTACGGTTTTTGCGGAAAGTTGCGTTAAAGTTGATGCCGTGGTGTCAGTAAAATGGCACGGAAAACTATCGTCTCGCTTTATATATAGTAAGATACAATGAGGATTTAGTTGAATATAATGATGGTTCAGTTGAATACACTGAGGATTTAGTTGAATATAATGAGGATTTAGTTGAATATAATGAGGGTTTAGTTGAATACACTGAGGATTTAGTTGAATATAATGAGGGTTTAGTTGAATACACTGAGGATATAGTTGAATATAATGAGGGTTTAGTTGAATATAATGAGGATTTAGTTGAATACATTGAGGATTTAGTCACACATTAAAATTTTGAGTTAAGTCGCAGTACTCCTAATTTCTAACAGTTTTATTATTTAATCTATAATTTCAATTGGGCCGCGACATTTTTTAAACAAACAAGTTCTCATAAAAACTGATGGAATTCCATTAAATTCCCGCTTCATAATTACTAAAATAATTAATCAATAATTACAATAAGGGTGGAAGTGTAAGAGCCCAAACTATCTTAAACCGCTTTAATAAAAGAATCCTACGGTAATAACGCATAACAAAAGCTAATGACCCCGGGGCTATGATAAGGGGGGCTTGAAGCAGTCATAGATCATGGATTGTTCCAGGCGTGTTTTGAATAAAAGATTATATAATTATGAATCTAGTCTGGTATCCTCCTCTGTTTGTTCTCTTCGAGCTGATTTTCAAGTAGGGCAATTCGTGGTTTAACCCTGTACAATGTTGTATCGGGTAACGCTATGGATTTATATTCTAGGATTTGTAGTCAACCTGCGACTTACTAGAGAGGAATACCTCGGCTTTCTTGAACGATCCCAAACCAACAGAGAAGAATTATTTATAGTATTCGTAATTCACAGAGGGCCTTCGATTAACAGATAAGAGAGTAAATCTGAGTTCTGAGCGGGGAAATATCAGAGATATCTGACAAGATTAGAGAGTAAGTCTGAGTTCTGAGCGGGGAAATGTCAGAGATATCTGACAAGATTAGAGAGTAAGTCTGAGTTCTGAGCGGGGAAATATCAGAGATATCTGACAAGATTAGAGAGTAAGTCTGAGTTCTGAGCGGGGAAATGTCAGAGATATCTGACAAGATTAGAGAGTAAGTCTGAGTTCTGAGCGGGGAAATGTCAGAGATATCTGACAAGATTAGAGAGTAAGTCTGAGTTCTGAGCGGGGAAATATCAGAGATATCTGACAAGATTAGAGAGTAAATCTGAGTTCTGAGCGGGGAAATGTCAGAGATATCTGACAAGATTAGAGAGTAAGTCTGAGTTCTGAGCGGGGAAATATCAGAGATATCTGACAAGATTAGAGAGTAAATCTGAGTTCTGAGCGGGGAAATGTCAGAGATATCTGACAAGATTAGAGAGTAAGTCTGAGTTCTGAGCGGGGAAATGTCAGAGATATCTGACAAGATTAGAGAGTAAATCTGAGTTCTGAGCGGGGAAATATCAGAGATATCTGACAAGATTAGAGAGTAAATCTGAGTTCTGAGCGGGGAAATATCAGAGATATCTTAAAGAAGATTAGAGAGTAAATCTGAGTTCAGCGCTTGGGAAATCTCAGATATCTTTAGGAAGATTAGAGAGTAAATCTGAGTTCAGCGCTTGGGAAATCTCAGATATCTTTAAGAAGATTAGAGAGTAAATCTGAGTTCAGCGCTTGGGAAATCTCAGATATCTTTAGGAAGATTAGAGAGTAAATCTGAGTTCAGCGCTTGGGAAATCTCAGATATCTGACAAGATTAGAGAGTAAATCTGAGTTCAGCGCTTGGGAAATCTCAGATATCTGACAAGATTAGAGAGTAAATCTGAGTTCAGCACTTGGGAAATCTCAGATATCTGACAAGATTAGAGAGTAAATCTGAGTGCAGCGCTTGGGAAATCTCAGATATCTGACAAGATTAGAGAGTAAATCTGAGTTCAGCACTTGGGAAATCTCAGATATCTTTAAGAAGATTAGAGAGTAAATCTGAGTTCAGCGCTTGGGAAATCTCAGATATCTTTAAGAAGATTAGAGAGTAAATCTGAGTTCAGCACTTGGGAAATCTCAGAGATTTGAGAAACTCATGAGCCCTGTCGCCAGCTGCTAATTTTACAGAAGCGATTAAATCATGTGAAGATTTGGTATCTACATGTCAAACTTGTCTAACCGACTCTTCCCATTAGTATTTATCCTCGGTATTTCAACTACTCCCCAGCTGAGAGCTAACCACACACGTTATTAACGTCTTGTTAACGTCACGTTAACAAGACGTGTGTTGTTACGTCAACCCAGCACTTATAAATAATTGCAATGAGTACTTACCTCGCTGACTGATCTGGATTTTTTGTACATTTATTATTTACCCTGTAAATTGTCGTGTGTGGTTTCTTGGTACATCAGGGTGGGCCATAATTCACGTAACACCCTGATGTGTGTATTATGTGCGGTAACTTCTGACGAGTAGGGATACCGTAAAGTAGCCACGTCTCAGTGGTACGATAATTTTGGTCAACTGTATTTCCCAATGTTATGTTTTCTAACAAAGACATAAATTCCACGTTGCCCGATAAACAATGCACGTTTTTAAGCGCGTATTGTGCATTATTAATGCGGGCACAATGCAACCAATTTATTTGAAAGTAGAGCAGAAGGCATCCGCCTCTCCTGTGTCAAATACAATATTAACACACCCTGATGCCCATGTCAATGAAGTTGTTGTTCTGTGACATGATAAACGTACGCTTGACTCCTTGATTCCCTTCAATAAGGCAGCTTTATAAATTGAACTTACGCTTGACTGCTTGATTCCCTTCAATAAGGCAACTTTATAAGGTAAACGTATGCTTGACTGCTTGATTCCCTTCAATAAAGCAACTTTATAAGGTAAACGTACGCTTGACTGCTTGATTCCCTTCAATAAGACAGCTTTATAAGGTAAACGTACGCTTGACTGCTTGATTCCCTTCAATAAGACAGCTTTATAAGGTAAACGTATGCTTGACTGCTTGATTCCCTTCAATAAAGCAACTTTATAAGGTAAACGTACGCTTGACTGCTTGATTCCCTTCAATAAGACAGCTTTATAAGGTAAACGTATGCTTGACTGCTTGATTCCCTTCAATAAAGCAACTTTATAAGGTAAACGTACGCTTGACTGCTTGATTCCCTTCAATAAGGCAACTTTATAAGGTAAACGTACGCTTGACTGCTTGAGTCCCAACACAATTACAGTATTTTGACCGGATGCTGGTTATCTCACCATTCTATAAACGATCCTCTCTGAGTTGTTACATACATCATTCGGAGGTATCATTTACTAAATTCCTCCTTAGGTTAGCGTGTTAAGTTAACACTTTAATCTGCGAAAAAGTTTGGAAGTTAGTAAAATTAGTGTTAGAAAAGTTAGCGTCATTAGAAGCGTACGAGTCAAAAGCAGCTTGGTGACACGATAATTACCAATGTTATCTGGTTTTAACAGTCAACTAAGAACAGTCAACTAAGAACACATTGCTTATTATCTCAGAGCTTCATGGGCCTTGTGCTGTGAGCCGCTTTTGAGGTAGCCCAATACTCTTAAAGTTGCTGACAGGAATTTTCAATGATGATACTGTTTCTGTGTAATATCCGGATCGTTATTTATTATACACATTGTTGTAATGTTTCTGAGGAAATGTTGCTATATTGTTACGTTGAACAATTCCTTATCGATCCTGATAAGAGCATTTTCCTTGTCGCAATAAAAGGGAACACTACAAATTTTGCCCCAGAAACGATGATGTTTTAGTTTATTTCTGCTATGCAGGTATTTGCAGAGGTGATTTTTAGCTATCACTATTTCTAACGGAATCTCACATCTCCAATACATCATTGTCGCGTAAACAAGTAGACTGAAGATTGACTGCTTTAGTCTGACCGAATAGTTTACCAAATACCACGCTCCCCAGGCAATCTTTAGTATTTGTGACGTTTGTAGTTTGTGAAATTTGAAAGAAGTACGTGTTATGTTATCAATTATTTTCTGAATTTGCAATAAAGTTGATGACAGGGTCTTGATACTGGGTTCTTGTCATGTTGGAGCGTACTTTTTATATCGTATATATTCCTTACATTCCATAAGGGTTCTACATTTTTTCCTTAGTACTAATTTTGTATTGATACTGATGATTTGTAGTACCACATCTCCGATGTTAATGTAGCGTTCTGATTTCTGATCAGTGTCTAACTCGTTTGTTGACTGTGTGTTGGGGAATTTGTCTAAAATGTTGAGCCAGTCATAATCATTTCATTAAAAGCCGATATTTTCAGGATTTTCAAGAATTCAAAAATTTTTTGCCAGCTTAGTTTACATCAGTTGTTAAAAATAAGTGGAATCATTATAATTCTTCTAATTTAGTTCCCAAATTTTCCGTCGACCAAAGATTTTGTATATACCAAAATTTTTCAATTTCAATTTCAATTAATCAGTTTATATCTGTAGTTGAATAATCTTAATATGTCGAATTCTTTTAGAAGTTATATGTTTCAACTATTTATGTGTTACATTCATGTCGTTTCAAACAAGTTGTGATACTTTTTTTGAATTAACGAGAGTGAGTTCACTTTCAAATTCAGAACTTTTATAGAGTGGTCAGTGGTCGAACAAATAATATGACTAAAAATATCAAATATACATTGTGTGCGTCAGTAAAATACATCCGTAATATGCCTCAAATTAATCAGTTTAATTGCCGTCAACGCTATAATCTATATTTATATATTTAAGTAAGATAAGTCACTATTGTCTTCTTCTTTGTTTTAAGCATAATACTTTTATGATTTTGATAATCTAAGACTGATAAAATATCATAAATTAGAGAGCAATATCATCGTGTCTCTAAAAATAAATACCCAAATTTGTCGTCGCCCGAAAAGTCAAACTTTCTCACGCAAACTTTTGGTAGTCAAATTTATTGAGTTTAAAGTTTTGGCACACAAATTCTTGGGAATTAAGGTATGCGGAATGTAGCAAGACTTTCGACTTCAAAACATTGCTTGAGTAATATACGAACCTTAATGTTTTAACACAACTAAGCAACAAATAATCGGAGGCACTCGTAATGTGAACTGAAACAAATATTTCTGCGCCTCATTTTGTTCAAAAATTAAAGCTCTGTTTGTCCCTCTGTGCTAAAATAAAAAACATTTACAAACTTTAACTTATTTCCCTAGCATGACAAGATTCCTCGCTACCTTACACCAACATAATGCAACCACCCACCTCCGCCCCTCCTCCACCCACCCTCTCCCCCTCCTCCACCACCCCCTGGGTCACAGAACAGATCATCTTCAACAAACTCGCTGATAACATCCTTGGGCTTATCTCTATCACAGTTTTCGTTGTAGGAACACTCGGTAACACCATCAGTTTCCTCTACTTCCGCTCCAAAAAGAGGGACATGTCAAGTGTAACGTACATGCTGATCACAGCAACGGACACTATCATCAGCATGACAGTGTGTCCTGTTGGGGTTTCCTTCCTATCAGGACGGCAACCAGGCCTGTTTTTTGAGAATGACGTTATCTGCACTATCTGGTGGCACATCTGGGAGACAGCGCTACGTTTGAGCATCTTTCTTGTAGCGTGTATGAGCGTGACCCGCACCATGGCGCTGCTAAAACCGTTCTACTCTCAAAAAACACGGTACATGATCCTAGCTGTGGTGATCAGTTTGATTCTAAACATTGTTCAAATGACAGGGTTTCAGATTGTCAAGATAGAACTGATTGAGTTTGACCCTCCGTCCGCACGTCCCGTCCTCTTCGTGAACAATGTCACTACTCACGTGACCTTTCAGTTTCTCATGATCATGAGGGGGGTGAACTACGTGTTTCCTTTCATTACCATACTGATCAGCTGCAGTGTAGCAGCTGTCATACTCTGACAAAAAGAAAAGAGGACGGAGCACAAGCTGGAAAACATCAGTCTAAAAAGAGAGCTACAATAACGATCATGTTGTTTGCTCTGGTGTATTTCGTGTGTAATATTCATTTGGTTTGGATTTTGTTTTTGTTTGCTTGCGCTCCCTCGACGGCTCACAAGATCTGGCCGTGGTTTTTTGTTCAGACTCACGGTTACCTAAACACGACTATAGACACACTCCTACTAGCTGCCAACTCGGCTGCAAATCCTGTGCTGTATTTTTGGAGAATGTCTAGATTGAGAGATTTTGCTTTGTGTAGGAAACGGAGGGGTTCAACGAGACGAAAAACGGTCAGGTATCCGTGTGGAAGGTACAATTTTGGGTGTAGGTGGCAGATGAGGAGGTCTTCTCGCTCAACCAGCATTTCTAGTAGTATTAACAGTAAAAAGAAGGTTTCTGGTAGTATCAACAGCAAAAAGAAGGGTTCAACCTCTTGATCATGCACCGTTGTTTTACATTGATTATTATTATTCAGTGATTTATTATATTTTCATTTTGAATTTGTATAAAACTTGTAAAAAAGGCGCCATCATCATTCTAACCATTTTTCATCGACTTTCTGTGATATTAACTTATAATAAGGTGAAAATGAATGAAAAATTATCGAAATCTTTGCCTTTTTGCGGTTAACCATCTTCTATTTTTAACACTGAGGGCGAGACTAGTGATAAAGGTTCTTATTTGAACTATGTAAGCGATTTATTAAAGGATCTGCAATCATAAAGAACACGAATTTTATAGTCTAATATAACCTGCCAAATTTTCAATAACAATCTTGAAACCCGTATCTCATAATCTTGAAGTGACACTCTGATAAAATCAAAACTGCAATAATCTGATAAATCAACAATTACCTTCTTGGTTGGGTAGAAGTGTGGACACGATTCTAGCTTGTCCCTTCTGATTTTTAAACAGAAAGCACTGTACACAGTACAGGGCAGCTAGTCGAGCTTTGAATGGTTGTTTGTCGTTAACCATGAACATAAGGATCAGGAGAATTGCTGGCCGCTCTGACATTTCCAGCTCATCTGAAAGAAATGGTATTAATAAAATATTATCAATACTAAATATATAATAATGAAATATAAATATTTTTGTTATGTAATGGGGAATATAACGTCAGAGTATGAATCCTATGACTGTATGATAAAATTTACACCTCCAATTTTATTGAAAACAAAAAATCATGATTACACTTCTCACCTGATCCTGGCAACCAAACCAAAACAATCATAAAAAACCAGGCACGTAGCCAGGGGGGGGGCTAGGGGGGCGGCAGCCCCCCCCCCCCGGAAAAAATCGAACCCCAGAAAAAAGATAAGCCCCCTAGTCCCCATGGTCGCCTGGTAACTGGGCTGTGTTTATGACTGCAGTCAGTCAAAGATTTGAACTGTGGATTAGTAAATATATGTCATTAAATCCAAGCAAACATTCTAAAAGACTTCTATAATTATAGTCAATAGTGTCCCCTAGACCGTAGGAAATGTAAAAATTTTAAGACGATGAGGCCTGAGTAAGTCGTAAATTCTGATTGGAGAATGCAGATTGCTGTTGTGAAGTTACCAAATTTACGTGAGTACTTGATTCTTTTCAATCCCAGTTTATTGCTGTCCTACAAATTTCTTTAATGCCAAATGTCGTCTAAAACACCCTGTTTCGCAAAAAATTTCCGGGGGGCTGCGCCCCCCTAGCCCCCGCCAAGGGGCTCCGCCCCTGGACCCCGCTGGGGGCTGCGCCCCCAGACCCCTGCCACAGCTTGCTCGCTTCGCTCGCCGACAGCCCCCCTCAAAGAAAAATCCTGGCTACGTCCCTGTAAAAAACAACGATTAAACAACCTAAATCAAACAAACTAACCCATGAACTGCTGGATAATCTCATTTCCCCGTATAACATCCCCCACAGTTACCAACAACTTAGCAAATATATCAGGAGGTAGTCCTGGGTAAAGGAGTAGGTCCATTAGCTTCATGTAGATGCCACGTGTGTACATTACTTTCTGACAGCTGGTCACAGATTGGGGGTGGTTTGTTGGACCTATTAGAATCTGGGGGAGTTTGGGAGGTGTTGTTAAAAGAGTGGAGCGGTGCACGTTTTGTTGGAAATGTGGTTGTTTTAATTTACAGTGCAATGTTTGCAAGTGAAAAGTTTGAGATTTGTTGAAAAAGCTGTTGCAGCTTGGTTGTGTTTAAATTACTACCACAGCTAGTATAAGTACGAAACTGAAATAATATAAATTCAACATCACTGCATCAACATTAATCAATAAAATTTAACCTAACGTCTTTTAATAAATCAATTAAAATGAACATATTTCCAGAAACAAACCTGAAGGAGGTCCAGCATGAGAAGAATGTTTGTTTGCTTCTGAACATTCCACACGGGGGGCACCTCCTCGTCCTCCTCATCTATTGGAGGCATTCCAAAGAAGGGTGTTATCCTCTGGATGTTACTGAGGGGTGTTGGTTGTTAACTAGGAGACACGTTCGTGTGAGAATTACTCAGAAAATCTATTGAAAAGTAAGAAATATACGCCAGATTTTGTCAGGTCTATTTATCAGTACATTCCTTGAAGTGTGCACACATGTATGTTATATAAACAAGCACTACAATTCCCACTCGTTTGTTGTCCAATCCGACGTAAACAGAACGTACCTTGTTTCCCGGAAATAGTTCTGGTTACTCAGATTATTCCGTAACAAATTCAGCAGCAAATGCAGACAATCCTCGACGATAATTCCACCGTCACTGTTTCCCTCGTTGCTAACGATGTTTAATAGTCGCTCAAACGCGTTCTCGAATGCCACTATTTTCTGAAATAGACATGTCAGCGAAAATGAGACGTGGAAATGTGAATTATTCACGATCAACAACGCGAACGGTCGTGAAAATTGCGCTTACAGTTTATTACTACCATCATTTTGCGTTACCGCGCGCGACGCAAACCAAAGGCTATGCATGAATTTTGCAAGAGTTCGCGCCTTTGGTCGCAATGTAGCAGATACAAAATAATGAAAAATCACCATGATTTCTGGCCCATCAATATGAATAAGTGGGTTTATATTCTGTAAGTGGTACCTGAATCGCGGGGTTGTTCTTCGTCAGTTTTATCATCAGCAACAAACCCTGAAAATGATGATCATCATCAGAAAACATAAAAACAGAAACAATAAAATATCCAGAGTAAAATACCGATCCATCATTGCATTCCTCAATCTCCTCAGATATATAGCACCGTAATTACCACTAATTACCACAAAGTACCCACTCACGTCATTCCGTATAATTTCACGGCTGTCAGACAACAAATCCATTAGTTTCGATATCCCCATCGGCGATACCAAGACACGTTCCTGCAACGCTTTCCCCCTGTAATAAAATCAAATCAAATAATAATGAAACAAACATCATCATACTTACTTATATGTCATCATTATACGTCATCATAAATTTCTACAAAGTTTAGTTTAAGTGTAGTTGGTCAAACTCACTCGCCATCCAGGTGGTCAGATATTTGATGACCCTTCCGGCTCCACGGATGAACTCAACGAAGTAACAAAGTAAGTAAGTAAAAACTAAAAAATCTTAATAAAAGCCCAAGTTCCAAGACCCAGTAAAAAAAAGACTAAGTAAAAATGTACCTGTTCTTCAGGAGGGTGCTGAGTAATTTAACTGTAGGCCATCTCACATGAAACTCGTACTCCTCCAAGAGAGAGAGGAGGAGGGCGACGTTATCTTCAGTTTTAATGAACATTTCAGTGAATTGTACTCCCAGGTCAGTTTCTGGCGGGTCTTCTCCTGGTGATATGAGATGTGTAACATGTAATTAAACTATACAGAGGGGTATATTTGAGTGTCATTAGGTAAGTGATCATTAAAATCATGCAAGAAAACTTTAAAGTGTGCTATTTAAAGTTTTCACTTGCCAGTATAGTTGGAACTGAACTATTAAACGAAGTTAAAAGACGAAATTAACATAGAGAATATTGCTTTTAAAAATACCAATTTAACTGCAAAATAACACTAATAACGATAAGAACCTGCAGAAGCCATGACATTAAGCAGAGTCTCAATAACCATCTCCGTCACCTCAATATCACTGCTATCCTCTTTTATCACATTTATCAGTATCTCCATCGCGTGGGTTCCTACTTCCACTTGGAATGTCTGGTGGAATGTTTTGACGTTAGTGTTCTGTGAACATTGTTGTGTTGCCAGATAGAGTAAACGGCTTTTCAGATTAATGAATATAACGGTAACACGACATCTGTCCGACAGCGACTCTTGTCCGACCAATGTTACCAGAAAAAAACGACATCTATCCGACAGCGAATATAACGCTCTCTTCTCCACTTTTAAAAGGTATTTAATCTGCAGCCAGGTCGAACATTCTGGACAATACCATAGAAAATATATTTTACATTTACCAGACTTACAGTTGAATACACTAAAGAGCAATTAGAGATGGTCTAGAAGGCCGAAAACCAGCGAACTATAATTGGATCAAGATATGCTTAAATGAAATGAAATGAAATGAGGTTTTTACATCCTGCCCATATGATTAACCAATAACACAAGGAAGGTGGTTAACCATGTCAGAGCGGCTGACTGCGATTGATATGAGCAAATGTGTAAAAGTGAACAAAAGTATAATAATGAATATTGAATTCACGAATCAATTGAAATCAGTTAAGTAGTGTTAAATATTAACAAACCTTGGAGAGGGCACGAAGCGCACGAATAGCATCCCTTCTATCATCAAGTAATGTTGAGGTCTCTAACCGCTCTATAAGTCTCTCTATCTGTAATAAGAGTTAATCAGAAATTAATAAATAATTAATTAATTAATTAATAAATAACATAAATAAAATGTTACTTAAGTCTAAGACCTAATATATATGGACACGTTCATTGAAGTTTGAGGATATTGGTAAATTTCTAAAATAGCGTTTTCGACGATAGTGGCTTAATTTTAGCATCTATTAATCTAGCGTGTTCATAAGTTCTGAACATTAGCCACGTGACCCATACTCCCATATGCACTGCTCAGAAATAAAATGTATTGCTTTTAGGCACTATAATGTAAAAAATGTCACATTTTTGTGACATTGTTTACCATAACTGCCCAATTATCATTCCTTGGACTGAAATATAGTAGATTAGGTCAATCTAACAATTATGATACAACATTGGTTAAAGGGCACGGATCGAACGGCTTTAAGGCAATATTTCGTAAACTTTGTCACACTCAAAATACGAGACCTCTTTTCTACTGTGAGGTGTCCTCAAAACCCTTTCAGCTCATTATTCGATGGTTCTTCTGCCAATCATAGCCCTAAAAGATGTTGTTTTGAAAAGTTAGCTAATACATGCACTTGGTTATTGGGAAATGATGTAAATTCTGTCACATTATATGGAATTTGAAATTCTGGGTGAATTTCCGAAATCATTTATATCTGATTTTGGTTTGGAAGGCGGGAAAACTCTATATAAAGACGATACACGGATACAGTTGATTCAAGTATAGGGCAGTTGATGTAAACATCGTCACAAAATGATACGACATCGTCACAAAATGATACGACATCGTAAATAGGTTACATTTTGCGGGAAAACTCTATATTTAAAGAATAAAGGACGATACACGGATACAGTTGATTCAAGTATAGGGCAGTTGATGTAAACATCGTCACAAAATGATACGACATCGTAAATAAGTTAAATTTTGCGGGAAAACTCTATATAAGGACGATACACGGATACAGTTGATTCAAGTATAGGGCAGTTGATGTAAACATCGTCACAAAATGATAAGACATCATAAATAGGTTAAATTTGGAAACAATGATTATAGAATGAAATAGTCTGTGATTAACATATTACATACATTATAAAATGGCAGGGGTTTTTATATTTCCTGTATCTCTGTATTAATCATTTCGGACTGTAATTAGGACTGCTCACGTGAAAGAAATTATATCTAAATTTTACAATGACGTACTCGTATGTGACGAAATTTACATTTCTTGACCCTATTTTGAAGAACCATACCTCGGTTAGAATTCAATGTTCTTCCAGGAATTATTGGTTGGTTATTGTTTAGCAAAATAAAACTCAAGTTTAACAATGCTGAGTTTAATTTTACTAAGTTACTGAAATGTGACGAAATTTACTTTTCCTGCCCGAACAGTATAATTTCAATGTGATGAAAAATTGGCATGGGTTTCTATATTTCCTGTATAAATCCATTCTAACTATAATAAGGAATATTGATATGAAAGAAAATCTATCTAAATTTTAAAATGACGTATGTGACAAAATTTACATTTCTTGCCCCTATTTTGAAGAACCATACCTCGGTTAAAATTCAATTTTCTTCCAGGAATTATTGGTTGGTTATTGTTCAGCAAATTAGAACTCAAGTTTAACAATGCTGAGTATAATTTTACTAAGTTATTGAAATGTGACGAAATTCACTTTTCCTGCCCCAACAGTATAGTTTCAATGTGATGGAAAATTGGCATGGGTTTCTACATTTCTTGTATAAATCCATTCCGACTATAATAAGGACTATTGGTAGGAAATAAAATCTATCTAAATTTTAAAATTACGTATGTGACGAAATTTACATTTCTTGCCCCTATTTTAAAGAACCATACCTCAGTTAAAATTCAATTTTCTTCCAGGAATTATTGGTTGGTTATTTTTCAGCAAATCAGAACCCAAGTTTAACAATGCTGAGTTTGATATCACTAATTTACCGAAATGTGACGAAATTTACTTTTCCTGCCCGAACAGTATAATTTCAATGTGATGAAAAATGGGCATGGGTTTCTATATTTCCTGTATAAATCCATTCTAGCTATAATAAGGGCAGTTGATATGAAAGAAAATCTATCTAACTAATGCTATGGCTGATGTGACGAAATTTACATTTCTTGCCCCTATTTTGAAGAATCATACCTCAATTAGTATATAATGTTACTTTATCACCATCACTATGTCGATAAATTAGTTATTTTGCCAACACGGAGCAAATAAAGTTATAATATTTTTTTTGTGACGAAATTTACAAATTTTTACCCTGTTCAGGTGTTGAAATTTTGCCAATGTTAACATATCACTGCCATATAATAATTTATATGACCGGCGTATGGTTGAAATATTGTTAATTGATCCATAGTACGTAATATAGGGTGTTTAAGTTGGTATACTAATATTTACTCAATTTCACACATGTTGAGATATCATACAAATTTATGTGACTAAATTTACCTATTTCTGCCTTCTGTATTTGTATTTGCATATAACAATGAAATATGTGAACAATTCCAAACACATTCAGTTCACAAAATAATGCTAGACTATTCGGCATTTCTTGTCAGGATGTCATAAACATCCCTCATACAAATTTCTTAAATGTGTGACGGAGTTTACATGGTGCTACCATTTAACGAAAAAAGTCGCTAAATATGTAGATAATAGTCATATGCAACTATCCTATAAATTTTAAATTCGAAAATTTGGTCAAACACGGCAACAAGGGGTCCATATAAACTCTGTCACGTTTTTATAGTGTGACTCACTGCCGGCCGCATTTAAGCGATATCATATCGTCTGATAAAGATATCGTTATGCGACAAAGTTTATCTAGAGGATGAAACGATTATCCTAACCATTCAGGGTTTATATAGTTTTATAGTGTGACACATTTTACATCATCGTGCCATTTAGTAGGGTCACTAATATTTACCAATATCCTCAAACATCAATGAACGTGTCCATATATAAGTGTCATGATACTTTCACAAATTAGAGATTTCAGAAGAAAAAACATTCAGAATTAAATATCACAAACGTAAGTTAGAAAGTAAGTTAGAAAGATATTTAAAGTAAGTTAGAAAAATATTTAAAAATACTTACTGTTTCAAATCCGCCCTGTTTATTTTCCTCCTCAGTCGGGGTCGAGAGAAAGCCCCGGAGGAAGGACATAGCCCTAATTAAGTTGTTAATTAGTTAATTTATTAAGTTATTAATTAATTTAATAAGTTATCAATTAGTTAATTAATGTGGTATTTGATTAGTTAATTGAATTTAAAGTTAAATAGTTTATGAATAATAAATAATAAATAAATAATAACATTTTATAGAATTAGTTATGACGGAACACGTCTTGATTTAGTCTTATCTTGGCAATAATTCATCCTTGCACAATTATAGCAGAATTGTTCAAGACTGCCGTGAATGTGGAAAATTTGGGTAAAATTCCATCCTTTTATTTTTCATTCTTCAAGTGCAAAGCAGTGAAACAACATACATACCATATAATAGTATAAAATAAAAATTAAATTATAAAATTGAATTACGATTAAAAAGTATATTATTTGAAATAAGTTACATTATATTGTTGATAAAAACAATGCTGTTAAAAACAATAAATTAATTTGATACTATTGTTAAATAGAATAACATACCAGGGTCCAGGGCATACAATAAGCAAAAATATATCTGCCTATTTGTTAACCAATAACTAAACTACAAACATAACATTTCATAGTTTTGATGAAATGCGAAGAACAACAACTTCACTACCTTAAGCTTCAACACCGTTAGTATTCTGAATACCACCATTTCCAACAACTTCCATGTCTTTGTCGTTACCATCAACACCCTCCACTTTGGGTTCCAAATTTTCAACATTTTCAATATCCTCACTCAACTTGACATGTTCTTCCTCTGCTCCATTCTTCTCGTCTTTATCTTGATTAGACCCGTCCTCCAACTTAGCAACTCCTTTAGTAGTATCATTTTTAACCTCACTAGTAACCTCATCTTTAACCTCACTAGTAACCTCACCTTTAACCTCACTAGTAACCTCACTAGTAACCTCATCCTTCACCTCACTCTTCACCTCATCTTTAACCTCACGCCCTAGATCAGCACATAACAACATGATAGGACAATGATCACTACCCAGCACTAACTCCCTTATCTCACTTGCTGCTATTCTACCCATAAACCTTGTTGAAACCAAGAAATAATCTATTCTCCAACCCACATTTCTCTTCCGCGAGTTGGACATATAGGTCCAGAAGGAGTAGGCCCCAATTTTATCAGGGTAGAAATGTCGGAATGTGTCGATAAACCCACCGTCAAGCAGCGTGGTGAAGTCACCCCGTTCCTCTGGGGTGAAACCAGAGTTTTTAGTGTTCGTTTTGGGGTTAGCCAGATCAATTTCAGTGTGTGCTACGTTGAGATCACCAGCAACAACAACTGGCTTTTTAGCATCCAAATCCTGGCAATAAGCCAAGAAGTCCACATTCCATTTCCTCCTGTAAGGTAGTCTGACTGTTTTCTGCCCGGAGTTAGGCACGTACACATTCACAAGGTAAAAGTTCGCGTACTCCGCTGTAATGACTCGACCCTCATTATCATGTTCAGGAATGTCAATACCGTATGTAACGGAAACTGGTTTCACTTTAGAAAGGACAGCAGTGCTGGAGTACCCTTTCTTAGCCGCTGAGTTATAAAACCTGTGGTATCCCTGGAATTTAGCAGCTTCCGGGAAATCAGCCTCGAAACATTTAGTTTCCTGAAAACACACAATATCAGCATCCTCAAACTTCAGGTAGTCTAGCTTATTGCTTTTAACCACCGCTCTAATACCATTAACATTCCACGATACAATCTTCAAATTCCAGGGTAGACCCTCTTTAGTGGTGCAAACTGGTTTAAAGTCTATTTTACCCTCCAGTTCAGATGGCAGTGTCATGTGATCTAAGGATCCAGGTGCTGAGAGTTTTAGTTTCTTGGATGCACTGGTTGTGCTGTTGGCGCTGTTGCTGCGTTTTGGTGCCATGATGAAGTGCTGGTGGAGTATGAGGGTCAGTCTAGGTAATCGTTGGTTAAAGTGCAGCATTAGTTAATAAACTGGACATACCACTAATTAAGTTATTAATTAATTAATTGATATAGCAATTGATTAGTTAATTGAACTTAAAGGTAATTTGCTGTGACGGAACACATCTTGATTTAGTTCTATCTAATATTAGTTAATAAACTGCAATGGGCTCAGATAGGTTATCTGATATAATCAGGTTTTATTGTGGTGGGTGTTTTAAATGTTAAATAAAGCTGATGTTCAATTTTCAGTGATTAACCGTTGGATTAAAATGATAATTCAACAATCGAATTTTAATTCACGGTAATAAAAGACAGCATTCTAAAAACAAATAAATAGCATACGTCATTACATTTAAATAAAATAGCATCCAAACTATCATTATAGCATTCAAACTGTATAATATGAAACCTCAATAAGGATAAGCACGCACATTCTTACATGTACAAACATGTGATAACACGTAAAAACATAATATGGTAATAAAATATTAGATATAAAATATAATATTATCTTAGTGTAACACCTTAACATTTCTTTTCAATTACAAAAAACTCCGTAGCATAAATAATTCACCGATATTCAATGATAAAATAGAAATCGTATAACAGTTATTTCTTTAGTATGAACAATTAATATTGAAATGTTAACCAACAAAAAACCATATTTTAAGAAAGCCAGGTTGTCCAAATCTTGTTAATCGTAAATATCGGCTCTATTAAAGATTTAGAAAGAGGAGTAACGATTTCCATATAGTCAAAATATTGATTACGGCCAAAGCTATGGCCGTTTAATGATATTTTGATGATTTTCAATCACAAAAATGTCCCGAAATTACACATTTCTAGATCTTAATTTCAATATCTAGAATTCTCTTTAATGTACCTGGGAATGGTCTGAAACACAACAAACGATGAGAAGACAAAATTTGTTTGTCACAATTTGCAGAGAGGATCGAAAACGCAGAAATTATCTACCTCTTCGTAACTCTGGCAGGAAGGAAGTTTTACACCAATCTTAATACATCAATTATAGTCAATTAATTAATTAATAAGTTAATAGATTAACACGACCAAATAGATAAAGACAACCAAGCTCTCTCAATAATGATAAAATGAGAAAACATATTTCATATACAGAGTAATTTTTCATATGAGATATCAAAACTTATGAAATACATTGTACACGTGCAAAGTTTAATAACTTGAAATTAGTGGAAAATAAAACGATATAAACATGGAAAATGTTCGTATGACAAGGATAAAAGCTATAAAATGTAAAAATTCTTCACCAATCAAAACCAGATAATAATTGAGTTGGGCATTTGTGGGAATTTGTGGGCATTTGTGTGCATTTGGCGTTATTTTTCTTTCAGGAACTAGGAATTTGAAGGCTGTAGAAACTTAATGGTTTGTTAGTTTAACAAGCTTTTATAATGTACACATTTATGATAAAATGTGTAGATTATAATGATTATTATAATGTACATTATTTACATAGTTTCATAAAGAAACACAAAAAAAAACATATATTAGTGCTCGTTTATGACTAGAACTGAACATTTTCCTCTGAAAATGTACCCCCCCCCCCCCCCCACAAATTCTCAACTATATTAACCAATCACATATAACATAAGGTGACAATAAAATTCTTTAGCTATGAATAAAAATTGCTACAACAAGTGGTTGGCCGAGGATTCGACTGAACAACTCATTTGACTTCTATTCAGGATATATTATTGCTTATCATTATCAATTATAATATGATATGTTAGTATAGTAACTGTAAGAATTTATTCTATATATATATAATTCATAACACTATTTAAATAACCAGCGCTTTTTATAATTTAATCTCTTAATAACAATTAACAAAATACCTTGTAAACCGCTATATTATCTCATAATTTAATTATTTAATTATCTCATATTTAATATATAATACTCCTGTTAGCGATTATTACTAAGAGCTCTCAAATGATCCCTCACCACTTAGTAACTAATTGATAAATCATGTAATTAATTAGCTAATTGATAAACCGATTAAATACTCTACTAATTAAATAATCAATTAATCAACTAACTAACTAACAAATTAATTAACTAATTAATAATCCTCAAGGTGAAATAGCCTGACTAGCACTATTCCCCTTACTCATACTGGTCCCTCGCTTAGTTTTAGACTCAGTAACTTTGGTTTCTTTAGGCTCTATGGGTACCCAGCCTCGCTCCCTCTGCTCACTTGACTGCCTTATCTTCTCTAGTACCTTCACCAGATGTTGCAGGAATTTAAGTCTCGTCTTCGGTTGTCGCTGTCTGGGTTTATATGGTTAAGATTAGGGGGATTTTAGGAAATGAAGAATTTTTAAATGCGGTGGTTGAGATTGCAAAACTTCATTATTTTCTATAAAAGATTTGCGAAAGAGGCAGAAACTGTGGACAACATAATCTTTGGGATAAAAAGAAAATGTGAACGATCCTGCAATCACCACTTAACACACAACTCACTCATCATAAGGGAACTGCAGTTTCTTAATATCCAGCGCATCAATAAAGTACTTCATTCCTAGTATATAGGGAGTAGGCTGGCCAGGTGCCAGATCTTCACACGTGAACTTTGGAGGTTCTTCCTCCTCTATTAGAGTCTCTTTGGTGGGTTCCTCGTCATCTTGTCTAGGTGATTAGGTAATTAAGTGATTAGGTAATTAAGTGATTAGGTGATTAAGTGATTAGGTGATTAGTTAGTGTTATTTTGTTGGTAAATTTGTTTGTTATTTTTAAGTTGAAACTCAGTGCTGTGAACTGTAACGTGATAATTAATATAATATACATTGTGTTTCAACTGTTTTACTGTCACAACTGTAAACATTACAAAATATAGTCACACTATGTTTACTAAAGGGTTTTGTATTGTTCTCTGTGATATTATAACGTTACATTGTAGAGACGTTCATAAACATGAAAAACGAGAATTTGTATTACAATATGTGTAACAAAAATAAACGTATAGTACAGCTAGTACTGATAACAAACTCACACGAAACAAGGTTTTTAAATCAGATATTTTAGAGGTTTTAATAAAGTTTAACCTACTACAATTAATTAATTATCATTAACTATTAATTAACTAATTAACTATTAACTCACTGGAAGGGGATGATCTTGAGCTGGCAGTTATCCAGTACAATACAGGCTCGCTCAGTAAGTACAGTTACTTCCTGTCTAAATACTGTGTTGGGGTACAGCATGCTGATATGTACCTGGAATTTTAAATAAAGAGATAAAAAAATCTATCAAATAAAGAGATAAATAAACAAATCTATTAAATAAAGAGATAAATAAACAAATCTATTAAATAAAGAGATAAATAAACAAATCTATTAGATAAAGAGATAAATAAACAAATCTATTAAATAAAGAGATAAATAAACAAATCTATTAGATAAAGAGATAAATAAACAAATCTATTAGATAAAGAGATAAATAAACAAATCTATTAAATAAAGAGATAAATAAATAAATCTATTAAATAAAGAGATAAATAAACAAATCTATTAGATAAAGAGATAAATAAACAAATCTATTAAATAAAGAGATAAATAAACAAATCTATTTTAAATAAAGAGATAAATAAACAAATCTATTAAATAAAGAGATAAATAAACAAATCTATTAAATAAAGAGATAAATAAACAAATCTATTTTAAATAAAGAGATAAATAAACAAATCTATTAAATAAAGAGATAAATAAACAAATCTATTAAATAAAGAGATAAGTAAATAAAATCTATCGAATAATTTAGATATAAATAATATCTATTGAAACTGTCATATTTGAAGTAAGTGACCTTTGCCATTTTTACTGAGTTTGATAACGGAAGAACCAGCATAACTACGAAATGACAATATTAGAGAAAACACTGTAAAGTGTAAACTGTACACTGTACATTGTACACACTACACTTACCCAAGCTACAACCGAATCATCAGCAATGTACGGATTATTCTTGTGAGCCTTGAACCGTAACTGGAAGTTACACACGTCGTCACCGGTAATTGACCTGAACCCGTTTATATACTCGTTTTGTCGAACAAAGTTCTTTAGTGTTCCCTGAACTGAGTCCACCTGATTGGGAAGATGTGTCAGTGGGGGGAGGGGAGAACAATCGAGAAAGAATATTGTTTGATACAAAATCATGCTGTCATTGTATGATCAATTGATTTTTTATTTTGTTGCTTAATATTATCGTATTTCGTTGCCAAAATATATCGAATTTTTATCAATGTACTTAATTCTAGTTGTGAAATTAGTTTAAATATCACACGGTGTTAACTTCCCAACCTTAGTATCGTTGAGTAGGTAAGTAAGAAGATCAATGATGTGACACCCAAACATGTTGAGCGCGCCTCCGCACCGGTTCTTATCATACTTCCAGTTGTACTTCTTGGAACAAAGCTCCGTCTGGTTACACTGTATTCTCACCTGTCAAAACGTGTCACTACAAATTAGTAGATTCTTAATTATATTAAACTGTTAAGTAAGACCTCATAATTTTATCTACTGCCATGGGAAGGGGGTGTAGAATACCCCCCCCCCCCCCCCCCCATGGGAAGTCTCACGCAAACCTGCTTGGTTTTTACAACTTCCCATGAAGAGCGGTTCTATAAAGGTACATTGTGGATCTGAACAGTGAACATACCTCTAGACTCTTTACAGCCCCATACTTCTTGTCCATGATGATATTCCTGAGTTGCCTAACTGCTGGAAGATTTCTCAGCTGATAAGGACACGCGCACAACCATATTGCAAACTTAGAGGCTGATGCCAGGAGAGCCTCTCCCTCTTCTACTGTTGTCACTGAAATAGTTGGTATTTGTCTGGAGTTAATTGCTTTAATTTACAATGGGGGGGGTGTCATGTCCGTCTATGTCCGCCTATGTCCTGTCCTTTTTGGATTCTATG